ACATCCAAATTACAAACAATCGTATAAAACTTAAACTTGTGTCGAAAGGAGGGTTCTAGTTTACAAAACTTATTTTTGACTCACAACATTACTGGGCCTGAATGCTATCCATCGAAATATTTTCTAATGTTTTAATACATTTTAAAGTTTCTCTCTGTTTGCTCTTCATAATTTTAAACTGACTATCATCGTTAAACAAGGTACTTACATTTAATTTTTCTGCATCTTGGGGTTACTAACGCAACCCATGGAAACGCCTTTTAGGTTGATGACAGAATCCACATTCATAACTGACGAATAATATTCAGATAATAATTCGAGCGTTTACTTTTTGATTGAAAATTTTCAAACAGAAACATTCTTTGCGAATCGAAATCTGAAGATTTTAAAATCTCTCTTACAGTTGTTTTGGAAATGAAAAAATTTCATCAAAGTTCAAAAAACGTTCTATACGACTGACTCGATGATACCAGTTGATCGATTAAATAAAATTCTCCACTGGTTTTTAAATCACTCAAAACTTTACCCGGACCGCAAAAATTGGATTTGTTCAGATGGTAGATTATAGATGGCATTGACCCTCTCAGGTCAACGTGGTCTTCAAAATCTGGTTGGTGGGAGACCACCCGACTAGCATAAAAACCGACCCGCATAAAAGTTTGAAAACAAGAAAATGTGTCGACTAGCAAAATATATCGTTTTTTTTCTCAAAAGAACAAAACAATCTGTTCAAATTGAATCTTGTGTTTCTGAGAAATACAAGAACACACAACGGAAAAATTAAGCAATCATTAAGCAAAGTTATGACATTCCTTAACACAAAATTTGATCAGTCACAAAAATGGACTGTAATTCACCAAACACTGATCGCCACTGGTTCAACCAAAAAGTGAAATGTGTGAAAAACTGTGATCTATTTATTTATTTTTTTGAGTGTTGATTATTTGGAATTTGACAGTGTTTGACTTCTGAGTTCAACTTTTATAGTAGTCGATACGATTTTTAATTTAAAAAATGTGTGCTAGTCGACACATGGCCGGTTTGTGAACTTGGCTTAAATTTCGATACGTGGCAAGAAGTTTTAGGCATTTGGTGTGGCATCATCTCCAGACCACGCTGTTAATTTTAAAACGGAACTACCCGCTTCTAAAGTTATTTTAGTATGTAATTAGATCAATGAGAACTTTCCTCGTCTTCCTACCCTATCAAAACAGGGATCTACTTAACAATCTCCGCTCTCGTGTCCCCCTACAAACTGCCACCCCTAAAATCAAAAGCAGTAATTTAGCACTACAGCGCTCTATAATTCGACTTTAGCTGCATTCTGATCGGCCGAAAATTCGACTTACTTAATCTACTTAACAGTTCCACCCTTTCCCGAAGGGGGATGATTGTTAAGCAGATCCCAAAACAGTTATATGTAGCACTTCGAACAGCAGTAAAGTTGATACCGGTTTCCTCTGACTTTTGCTAACATTGATACAGTCAAGTTTCAATTAAATACGTCCATTCAAATCTCTCGATGTAGTTTCTCGAGAATTTCAGTTCGAGAATTTAGACCTTGTTACCCGCACTCAGAAAAAAGTATAAATCAATTATATTATTTTTATAATAGTACTTTAGCAAAATTAAGATTAATTATACGCGCCAATTTTAGATATTTAAACATTTTATAATCCATTATAATGATAACATTTTTGGTGACATTTTAATAAATTATAATCAGTTATAATTGATTATAACTCTTCAGAAAATCACTTATAATCTATTATAATAGATTATATTCCCTTTTTCTATCAAAATATTATCTCACAAAAAAAATCAATT